AAAAAAAATTAGTTAGATTCTGAACCATGGCTGTGTAAAACTATTCGTCAGTATGTTTGAGATTAGTAATTTCAGGGACATAAGTTGCATTCACTTTGTTATTGGTAATGGACTCGGTGAATGTCTTGTGACTTGACTCTTATGGGATGTTTCCCCAACTCTTTCTGTGAGTTAGTCAACTTCATTGCGTATATCATGTAAAACCTTACAATGAGGTTTGTAGCAATTGTTTAGTTTAAGTCATGTCAATCCTTGCAATTCATAAATAGTATAACAACTTGACTAGACGAAAGAACCATAAGCACTAACTAGATGAAGGAATGCTTATGAGTCACTGCAGATTCTGGCATGAATTAATTTGTGAAGTGAGGCGTTATTCTGATGTGCATATTTTGCATTACCTTCGTCACAGTTCATGAAAACCTGACTTCCCGTGTTAAATAACTAAATAAGAAGTACCAAAAACAGCTTGAATTAAACCAAATTTGTTTCGATTCTTTGAAATAGACTGCGTATTTACAACGACAACAAAGTATCATTGTGTAAATCCTTAAATAGGATCTGGAGAGAGTAGTGTGTACGTGAACCTCTACCTTGGAAGGCAGAACGATTATTAGACCCTTGGGTTAAAGGAAAAATATAGATAAATTACACCACCGTGCAAATGCCTTCTCTTCCCCTTTCCAGTTTAAGCTAATAAAGCTGGTATAAACCTCGAGAAATGTTGGTTTAAACGTCTTACTGAAACAGTTTTGGGTATATTTCTGTTTTCAATAAGCTTTGAAAGATGTTTGGTTGCAACTTTATTTGATACTAATTATTGACAGCTAACAACTAATAAATAGCAATTAACTTGTTGTAATAGACTAAATGAATCCGAGCATCTCACCAACTCCAAGTTTTTGGAATGCCCCAAATTCGACTCGAGTATTGGTATGAAAAAAATATCACATTCCCAGTAAGTATACCATATATTTAAATCCATGCTTAAAATATATTTCCGGAGAGTTTAAAGAAATCGTTAATAACTTGCAATAAAGTAAATTAGTGTCATTATCCCATGAATTAAAGCTAAGCGTGCGTATAATTCTACTTTCAACTTCCTTGGAAATGCAATGTACCCAAGTTTAACATATACTAATCTAAGGTCAAAAGAAGTCACCCATAAAGAAGGAGAGGAGTTATAATGAACAAAAGGAGGACAAAATTTTACCACAAGTGGTATCTCCACCAGGGTGGGCACAATTATACCTTTGATGAATGTGCCCATTTTGATATGTTTACTATAAACTAGTTATATTTGGTACTTTGGATCTAACAAGCTAACTAGTGGTGTTTGACTCAAAAGGCTTGATGCTTTGACCTTGGAATTGATATATGTGGGATGCATATATATTATAAGCATAATTAGCTAGCTTTACTCAAAAGCTAACCTTGGTCCCATCAATGATTTCTTCTGTTAGTTTCTCTCTGCCAAATTCATCTAAGTTCATCATTTCCTACCTATACTATACATTAAAAAAAGTAGTTAAAAAGAAAGGGTGTTAAGAAGGGAAGTTTGTTTTCATATACAAGTACATATTATATTTTTCCAATCACTCTTTTTCTTTCTTCCATTGATGTCTTTATCAGATAAAAACAAACAACTTAAAGAACAAGTTGAGATAGGGCCATGAAGAGCAGCATGTTTTTGTGCAATCATAATGGCTTTCAATTTGATTAGGTCATATTCCCAAACCAAGCAAAGTTCCAAAGAAAGCAAATTATATTGGTGAAACTCATAACGTCAACATATTGAGATCATGGAGTTGCCTTTGCTCACAAGAAACTAATAACTTGTTTTAAAAAGTCTATACCTACACATGCAAAGTGCAAACTCTACCACCAACAACCAACTTTGGACGAATTCTCTAGGTTCAACCAAATTCGTGCAAAAAATATTTAAACTATATGCATTTGATAATTTTTGAATTCTAGATTTGTGCTCCGTGAACTCAGTGTTAATTGGGGAAATATTTAATATATATACTTTACAACTAGAATAGAAATAAATCACTGGATCCAACATCTGTTGGGGGTTGGTTGGAGTTTGTTTGCTTGTTGATCTCTCTTTATGTCAAAACATGTGCAGTTGTTTGCAAATGCAGTCTTGTATTGTATGGGTGAGATGATTAGAAATGTTCAGTGCTTACGAGCTAATTAAGCAATGAAATCATTTAATTATATGTACTTCTCAATGGGGTTTGGGTCTTAATTTCTCTGGGATTTTGATAAGCACTAATGAATAGGTACACGTGGTGACGAGGACATAACCTTTAATTATGCTGATATGAACAATTATTTTTTTTTCTCAATAAGACAAATTAACAACCGTGCAGTCTCAATCTTTGAATTTAATTTCTCTAGTTTTATCTACTTTTTAATCTAATGGAAATTAACATATATTAGTGGATATTGCTCCTTTAGACCTTGAATCCAACTTTATTTACATATATATCTACATAATAAATTTTATTCTCTTTTTCACTAGTATGAAAATAAATAAAATGGCCCCATGAATTTGCTTTATGCTACACTTTTAGAGATTTAAGTCAAACATGAAAAGAATTACAGAGACATTGAAATCTTTTATTCACAAGATTAGGCTTTAATGTTTGGTTAACATGTAACAGGAAAACGCTCATCACGTTTTAACAGTAATTAGGACCTTAAAAAGCACTTAAAAAGAGTAATTACTCTTTAGAATCCTTAAAAGTTAAAAAGTAAACTTTGAATTCTAAGATTAGTTTCCCATTTCACATTTCACAATCACAAAAAAGTACTTTATTTATATTTTGACAATTGAATTTGAGCCCTCTCGTCCTTTCAATTGACAATCAAAAAGATTAAAAAAAGAGTCAGTCTATTGCAAATTGGAAGGAATAGAAACTTTGCTTATTCTAGAGTCAAGAGTAGAATCTTAATTAATTGTTGTAATAGGTTGATTATCTATTTTATATTGAGATAATCAACTAATAATCTTTTCATTACTATTTTATGATAAACATTTTTGCTCGAATGGTAGAAAGCATTTTAATTTTTCATATTAAAATATTATTATTTCATCTTCATCATAATCATTGGTATATTTCAATGAGAAACTTTAACGGAAAAAAGTAATATTTGTATTTAATATTTTATTTCATAAAAATAGAGAAAAAAATTTTAAATCTAATTTTAGTGAGTTTTAAATCGAATATATTATTAAAATAATAAATAATAAAATAGGATGAGAAGAGTAATCACCTTGTAGTGGGAATTAGTAGCTAGCCACTTCCTTTGTTTCACTTTTCTACTTTTCTTATATAAATTCACCATTGAGATTTCCATCTTTATTTATAACATTATTATTACTAATAACTTTTCTTATTCTTGTATTGTCTTTGTCACCATTCAACTTCAAAAATCTTCGTTCACACTCCACAAAAAGTCTATTTTTATACAAAATCACTTTCTTGGTGTGTTGTCTCTGGAAAATACTTTCCTTGCCCAAGGATATAATCAATTAACATAATTATCTCCTTTTTCTTTTCTATTTTTCTTTCGCTCGAAATGACACTCGATTCGACATATATATATATATACACACGTAACATAGGCATATTTATAGCGTTTGCAATTGAAAAATTAATGTTATTTTGACAAATTTACCTAATATGATGTACAATCAAATATATTAGAAGTGTAAAATCAATAATTCATGATATACTATGTGGAGATTGTCATATTGGATCCATCACGTGTGTGTGAAAGAATTAAGAGGAAATGCTTACATAAACATGATACGATGCTTACATAAGCAACCACCAATATTAAATCATAAAATAAAATAAGAAAAAAGGTAGAAATTAAAAAAATGTTCCTTAACTTGGTGACACAAGACAACTACCAAATATCCATCATAACACATAAAAGCTAAAAAGGCTACTGAAATACTTAGCAGTAGAGTAGTGTAGTAGTAGTAGTACAAGTAACACATCTCAAAAGGAAGAAAATAATTTTTTCTTTCTTTCTTTCTCCCCTTTTGGGTTTTGGCCTTAATCCAATACTTCCTTCACGTGACAACTTCCATCATTTACAACGTAAGATTATATTGTCGCATATCGATACATATAATTTTAATATTGTTTAAGTATTCAATTATCTCATTGCATTTGTATCATACCAGTGTGAAAAGTAATGATATGAATACATAGAGAATGGAGTTGCCGTATAAAATGAAACAAGGTTAAGTTAAAAATAATTTCATGAAAAAATTAAAAAGATTGTATTATGTATATGTGTTTGGCCAATCAAAAAATTGCTCACGTTAATTCGTTCTTGATATGTACCCATTATTCAATCCGTAATTGAAATTAATTAATACTAAATATAATTGAAATGAGATATATGTCAGAATTAAAGCAAAATAAAACATACTAATAGTTTGACAGATAGATAGAGTAATAAAATAGTATATGTAACTTTTTTTTAAGCACATATAGTTTGAGAATTTTGCGACAAATATTGGATGCAACCGAACTTGACACTAAATGAAAATTTAGCACCCAGAGGTTGACTCTATATATAAATAACAATAAAATATTCCGTATAATATAAAGACGATAAATAATAAGAAAATATATCAAAAATCAAATAGGTAAATAGTGAAAAAACTTATATGAATTAAGTTTGTGAGGAAATAAATAAATGAAAGACCATTTAATAAAAAACATAGAAGCAATATTGGTATAACCATCGAGTGGACAAATTTTAGAAGCAACAGTATTTACGTAGGGCCATAAGATAGTAGTATATATAGAGTGGATAAATTGCAATGCATGTGGTTACATTTCGCAGATCATATCTGGATTTTCTTGTACACATGGCATGATATGGATCTAGCTAACTACACATCACATTGTAATAATTCTCAAAATAATTCATTTTATTTATTCCATAAAATAAAAATAAAAATCCAATAAGGAAAATAAAAATTTCTTCGATATATATATCAACATTGCATAATGATGATCTTAATTTTGTTACATACTACACTGTTTTCATTTACTATGGAAATTAAAGGGTGGCTGGCTAGCTGGAAACAGAAATGTAATTAGATCCAAACTTATTGGATCTAATTATACAATTAATTAATTAATAATCTAGTGCGGTAAACTAATTTCATCAAGATCATCTAGCGATAGAAAAACTTCATCCAAGCATGATAGCTCCGGTCCATTATTATCATCATCATTATCATAATTGTGTTCGTATACACGACATATTACCCATCCACTATAGTCCTGGAACTCCAAATAAAAAAATAAATTAATTCAAAATAATATTGAATTAATTCATACCTATGTTAAAAATGAATATATATACTTACAATTTTGGAACGGGTTCTTCTTTTAGAAGATGAACGACTACTTCCAGAAGAAGATTCAGAATTAAGACTAAATTCTTGCATTACCCAATTTGTTTTGACACCTTCTGGTAGCTCACCTAGATAAAAAGCATAATATTTCTTCATACCAACAATATTATTATTATTATTATTGTGACCTGTTGAAAATATTGGTTCATCAACTCCTAATGATTTCCAATATCCATTTTCAGTGATTCTACTCTGTGTTCTCCTGCTATAGAAATACCATTTATTTCCTTCTACCATTGCTTTTCCTGCACAACATAACTAATGATATGATATATTATTTTTTAAAAAAAAACAACAAAAGAATCAGACTCTAACGTGAAAGGAAAAGAATAGAAAAATGTACCATCTAAGTCCCAAGGATCATAAGGGTAAAGATTAAGATCAGGAATGACATCAGGATGGCAAGGTAAAAGAGCAGCTTTGCGTTGAAGAAAATGAACAACTAATTCTTCATCTGTCGGGTAAAATCGAAATCCAGGTGGCAACTTCACATTACTATCTCCCATTTAATTTGAAAAAATGAATGATATACTATTTAATATGTATTTTTTTTGGTAGAGTAGAAGGGGATATGGAGGAACTCAGATATTTATACACAAAGATATATAATGGAGAGTGTGTTTAATTTTAGGGAATCATCATAACCATACTGTGTTTTGCTTCAAACAAGGTTTTGCTTTATTTTTTTAACAAACAAAAAACAATAGTAATAAGTAAATCAAATATTTGAGTGGCGGCTCTACTCCAAGGCGGCGGGTGCCTCTACCTATTTATCTCATTCTTTGGATCCAAAAACAATATAATGGGACCTCCTTCTATTCGATTATGACATCAGTTTTTTTTTTACCGATCGAACTGCTTTATTTTTAATTAAAATTTTTGAGTTTCACAATTAATAATTTAGTCAAAAGTTTTAATGTAAGTTTTAAAAAAGCTAAGTGAAATATGGAAAAGAAAAATATTTTTTCTGTCTCATATTAATTATCGTCCATCTTATTATAATTATTTTCTATTGTGTAAACAGAATTGTAAATTTATTTACTTCCTACGTCACAATTTATGACATCTTTTATTTTTCGAAAGTTAAACAGTTAAAATTTGATCGAAGATTTGTGCATGAAAATTTTAAATTTTTTGAAATGAAGTTTATATTATTTATAAACGACATAAAAAGGTATTATAAGTTATAATAATTGTTAATTTAAAATATTTAGAAAATTTTAAAATAAATTTTTTTAAATTTCGAAATTTAAAAAGCGTTTGAGACGGAGGGAGTACATATTTATGACTTTTTCAAAATGTTTGTTAATCCTTGGGCTAGACCTACTATGGTAGGACATGACTTCAGAAACAAGGTGATTATACTGTACTTACAAAATGATTTGTATATAATCTATGTATTATGTGCGGCTTACTACTATTGGAAGATCTAAAGTTTTATCTAATTAAATAATGAAATATTGATGTAATTTTCTAAGATGTATCTTGTTGATCAATCTTTTGTAATTTAAAACAATATATCATGTTACAACTTGAGTTTGACTTGTAGATGCAACTTGTTGAAATCTTACTTTCTTAGGTACACTCCTTGGTTGCCAATAGAACAGTGATGGTGATAATTCATTAAGAATAGATTTGCCTACACATATTCCATAATACGTTTATGCTTATCTTCAATGTTTATTTGTGAATGTAATTATGGGATTTCATGTTCTTTGTGTATGTCAAAAAATGGTTTATGATGAATAAAGTCTCCATGTAATGTTGGTAATTTTATTCAGATGATGAGTTGTATTTTTTTTAAATCACAAATAAATCAGTCATGTTATAAATTAATGGTTTTAGTTATACAACCAATAAAGTTAAATAATCATATTACATAGTTTAGTAAAAAGAGTTGCAAATTATTGTTATATGTTCAATTTTCTTAATTTTTTTATATATAATCTTTTAAAAAAATTTAAAATAAAATAGTAAATTTTTCAAAAGACTTTATAAAGAAACGTGACGATGAGTAGTTAAACATTAATATTTACGATTGTTTTGTTTATTGATGTTGGAGATGTATGAATACCAAGACCAAAATGAATGGTTTCTGGATTACAACATAATGGAGGTCACATTTATTTAGTTCAATCAATCCTTCGAAGATGCAAATCAAAATTATAAAACAAAATTTGTTTACCTCTTTTTACTTGGTCCCTAAAATAGATATACCTATTAAGTAATTTCTTAAAATAATTGAGTTCTTGGTTTTGCTTTTCTTTCTTTTGTGTAATGAAAAAATAATCAGATTGTTATTCATGAGAATGGATTTGGATAAAGTTAACAAGTATTACATTTATCTTGGTCCCATTAGTTAATCTCAATGTTTCTCATTTACATTTCTAATTTCTCCAACCAATTGTATATTAAAAATCATAATCATTAAGAATAATGTTTTTTTATCATATTCTTTTCCTTTGATTATTGTTGATAATTAATGTTTAAGAGACTAACTATCAGGTTCATGGACTAATTATCCAACAAATTGATACTCTCTCTAGTACTTCTTAAATGACAATAAATGTTTAATTTCACATAATGATATTGTTATTTATTTAAGGATTAGTTCTAGTTAGTTAATGTTAGGTTAGATATTTGTTTTTAATATATTAAGTTGAATGTTGATGTAAAAAACTTTATTTATCAATATGAATATTTGAATTGGTTAATTCAACTTTCTAAAATATTTTTAATAAAAAGTAAGATAATTTTTTTTTTAATAATGTTCAATATTATTTCAAGTGCATAAAATTCACTATTAACATTTGTTGGGATATCTTTACTTAGTCTTACCTTTGAGTCACCATTAATGGTGTCTCTATCTTCAAATTTCGAATTAACTTAGCTCTAATCAATTATAAATAAATGTTAGACACTTTCTTTTATAATTCAAAATAGATTAATTTTCGTATTACCATTATTTTTTAAAATTATCTTTTTTTAATGGGCTTTTAAACTAATATTTTTAAGGGCAACTTTCACATATAGTAAACAAAAAATTCATATTTGTATGCTATAGCAAACTTTACATAATTGCGCTCCATAGCAAACTTAAAACTGTATAATTTGCTATACATATACAATTGTATAATTCGCTGGCCTAAATTGTATAATTCGCTGGCCTATTTCGCTGCAATTGTATAATTTGTTTTGCATACAGTTGAATCGAATTGAAATGTATGTATATTGCATAATTATAAGTGTATAGCTAGAAGATATATGTTTTTCTCGCTTTCTACAAAAACAGAAACACAATATATATACTTCTGTTATATAAAGCTAGAAAAAATTGTATTTCACTGCAATTGTATAATTCGTTGGCCTTTTTCTCTGCAATATTTGAAGTAAAATGTTTGTAAATTGTATGATTAAGTGTATAACACGAAGATATACATTTTTGCATGTGTATATACAATTTTCTCTTGCTTTATACAAAACAGAAACCGAATTATACACTTCTGTGTATAAAGCGAGAGAGGCGAGCGAGATTTTTGGGAGAGAGACGTTGGCAAATTTTAGCTAATGCTTGCTATGGATCACAATTAAATCAAACCCTAGCTATTCCATTTAATTTAGGTTATTAGTTGGCTATACATACGATTTTTCCTATTTTTAATAATTGTGTATAGTAAAGGATATGAAATATCTCAATTAATTTGTTTATATCGGAGAGAACACCTTTTTGTAAGATTGCACAAAATTTCGTGCGAAAGAATCTTTCTTTTATTTTATTTTTTATGTGGTGCGCCCATGCCACAACTACAATATAGGTACTGTGCAAGGCATTATTATTGGATTCTTCTGATGGACATTCAAGAATGTGTCCATGGGCATATATATATAGCTAAACTGCTCTGAGTTATGATGGCAGTAAGTAATAATGATAAAATAGACTAGAAATTCTTCAAACAAGATAGTGACCTCTTCCTTTTTTTCACTTTAAAAATTACTGTCATTGTGAAAAAAAAGAAAAGAAAATGTACACCTCACAATATGGCCCTTTTGTTTTGGTCATGCTCTCTGTTTGGTATAAATCCAATTAATTGGAAGCTGATTAATGATCTCCTGCCTTGATAATTATATAGGATGTCTCTTTCACCACTCTGGGATATACATATATTGCAACTTGCTTAGATGAGCAAGGTTCATATAATTATATTAAAATTTAAAAAGCATGAATACTAATCAAGATTGTGATGTATTAATAAATACTTTTTAAATTTTAACTGAAAATTTCATATTTGAATTTTAATATAAGATCATTTTTATTAAAAAAAAAAAGAAATTACATTCAGATTTACTTTTAAAAAATATATTTAGGCAATTATATTATTAACAAAGAGTCAATTGTAAGGCAAGCGTCTATACTACACATGATCTAGGTAGTAATATATATATATAAATCAATATATATTCCATAGTTCTTTTTTTTTTACTTACAGTAAAAATATTAGTTAAACTTATTGTCTTTTTGTGTGTGTGTTTGGGGCGGGGGGTTTCTTGAATAGATTTAGCACAAGTAATCCAAAGAAAACACCATAATATCTATGATAGTACAAAACCTAATGTTTTCATGTTATGATAATTATAATTACCTATAATTCGATGAGATATTTAAGAAAGAAATACATAATGATTTTAAAGTTTAGACAAATACTTTTAATTTGACTAAGACTAATAAATATTCTTTTCCAAAATAGTGACAAATAATAATTATCTCAAACAATTTATGTGGGAAATAAAACATCATTACAAAGATTAATGAAAAGTTAACCAACGGTGCACTCAAGCATCATTCTTATACTTGTGCGTGTGTTAAAAAAGAAAGAAAGAGCCGTAATTGAATTTTGAAGTGATTAAATCTCTAGTTGTGAAGTGTGAACAAGTGATGACTACATTGTTGTGTCATTTCTTTTTCATAAAAAAATAATTTATTTTCTTTGTATAATGTGGATATATCATATAATTCGTGGAGGGCCACTTTTTTTTTTGAGTGTTAGTGGTAAGAAGCAAACTCTATCTTTATCCACGAAACTTCATAATGTGATGTGCTTCACTTTTTGCCTAACTATATGGACTGATCATCACTTGCATTCTTAAGATAACCAATTACTTAATGGAGCTTTCGATAATACGAAAAATTTGTTACAACTCCAATAATAGAAACTATTGGATTAGATTAGATCATACTCTTTCTATTTTAATTTATTTACTGTCTGATTATGATTTGATATAAATTTTGTTAAAAAATAAAATAAAAAATCTTATAATCTTAAATTAGAAAACATATAAATACTTTGAGTTGTATATTAATTTTGTGATTTTAAGACTGTAACATGATAATATAAATTCGAGAGAAAAAAAAAGATATACCACAAGATAAAAGAAAATTGAGAATTCGAAGGATTCTGTGAAATGAAAAAAATGAGCCACGTGGAGGCTGAAAATATCACAGAGTACTACTTTTTTTGTGTGTGGGGTTGGAGTAAGAGAGCACGAACCACCAGTTGTCGTTTTTAGGAAATTGTGTTCTGTTTTATACTATTTGACATGTGTTTTTTTTTTATATATTTTTGAAATTCGATTAATTTAATTATGTATTAGTAAGTTTATCTCCGAGGAAAATACTCTTTGTTATCGATTATTTCATCTAAAAGACTCTAATTTAAGAGCGGAAAGATATATTAGTAATTTTCACCTTATGGTATG